TACTTCTCATCACAAACACAGAAGGCATTTCATAGGACCTCCATTTTGCAAATGAGAAGCCTGAGCCTCAGAGACGTTCTAACTTGCCCAAGGGCAGAGGGAGTTTCTCAGTATCTGATGATAAACAGAGTAACTTAGACAAAGTCATAAGAGCATAAGGTAAGGGCTCCACTGTGGGATCTCAGACACCCGCTTCTGGTTCCCAGCTGAGCCACTTCTCAGACATGCAACGTGGACAATTTGCTTAGCCTCTTGGTGCCTACATTTTCTTATTCATAATATGGACAATAATAGCATTTCCCTCCCAGAATGGCCGTGAGTATTTAATGACTAATGTATGTATGGGCTTAGCAGAAAGTGAAAATCAATGATTTTATTCGAATGATGATTTAGAATCTTAATGAGAAATAATTTGCAGATAGAAGAACATCTAAACTGTACAAAGCATTCTCACATGAACTGTAACTCATTGGACCTGGTGGGTAGGACAGACGGACATCATCATCCCTTCCCACAGAGGAGAAAACTGAGGACCTGAACACTTCCTTATCCATTCCTATCTGTGGAATGATAACAGTGTGCTTACTGATTCTTGTTTTGCTTCTAGCCTCCAATCTCAACTCTGAGTTTGAGGGAGGAGGGGGTGGACACTACTGGTGGTGTGTGTGTTCATGTCTGTGTGCAAGCACACTTCATTGTTTTCTTTTGGTCATATCTGCATGACCGAACCATAGCACAGCTCATGGCATAGGACTGATGTTAAATTCTATGAATGAATGATACACAGAATGCACTGGCCCAGGATGAGAAAGCCAGAAAGTGGGTCCAAAATAAACAAAGCCTGAGTCTCTACATTCCAAGTCCAGTCCTCTCCACTACTCCAGGCAATACCTTCAGAGGACAAGATTTCATGGAATCATGGGATTTCAGAAAAGGCAAAGACCTTGAAGATCACCTCGGCTAACACTCTCATTTTGCAGACGACAAAATAGAAGCTCCAAAATCCCATTATTTGGGCCAAAAGCGTGCATGAAAGAGGCAGAAGAGGTAGGCCAGCGCCCAGGTTACCTAACTCTGAGATCAATGATGTTGGCAGGTGCATGCAGAAAATCGCCCAGCCTCCATGCTTCCGCTCAGACTGAGGCATGACAGAGCGTGTGCTTTGGGCACCTAAACCACTGTTTGTATGCATCTTATGGCCTGGCTTGTGAAGCAACCTGAGAAAAGGTTTCTGCTGGGATTTGACGGGAAAAACTCCCTTCCTTGCCTGTGGCACTGAGTCCTTGTCCTGAGTCTATGACCTGAAACCAGCCTCTGCATGCATATGATGAGGAGGAAAGAAGTGGCCTTAACCCACTGAAGTGAGGAGAGGAGATCTCCCCTCAGATTCTTTCTGAAGCTCCCAGATCAGCCTGGGGCCCAGCTTGAGTGCAGGGTGGGGGAAAGCAAGCTAGCCGAAGCTAGAGGGCTAGGGCACCTCCATAAGGCCGGCTGTCTAGCACAAGACAGTGTGGCATGTTCCTGGAGAAAAGCCTTGTCATGATGCAAATGTCGAGTGTTTGATGTGCTGGGTCTACATGAGCACACAGGGAGGTGCATTGGAAATCGCCGGAAGACGTGTTTTCATGCTTCAACAAAGCAGCATGTGATGAGGACAAAGTGTCACTTGACAACCACCCTGAGGAGCATGTCCTAGTTGGCTTTGGCTCAGGTCTGAATCTGGCCTGGAGAGGCACACGTGTCTCTGGGTACATATCTACACGTGTGTCCATGTGCCGATCAGGTCAGGAACCCCACCTGGTCTTTGCACGTAGTAGGTTCCAAATCAATGTTGGTGGTATTAATGATCTCCCAGTTATATCTACCCTGCACTTTCTTCTCTGTAGCACTTAGTGTGCGTGTGTGTGTGCACGCACGCACACATGTATGTGTTTAATTAATGTCAGTCTCTCCTAGGAGAGCAGGGACCATGTTTGTTTTACTCATCATTGTATCGTCTGCCCCAAACGGTGCTGGGCCTCTAGCTGGTGCTTAATAATTATTTGAGGATTAAATAAATGAAGGAAGGAATAACTAGATGACCAGGGGCCTGACTTCTGGGTCGAACTCCATCATTTAATTAACCACGTGACCTCGGTTAAATCTTATACTTAATTTTAGAACTAGAAAGCATCCTAGAAATCAGCCCGTTGGATGACAGCATGCTTTGCTTTAGCAGTGGGATCCCAAAGAAAGCATATGGAACATCAGAACACGAGAGTGGAAGAGTAAGACCGTCTCTGTGTAAATGCTGTGTACAGCTGGGGGGGTCCTGTTTGGTCACCCCTCACACAAAGACAATTTGCTTGTCGTCCTACACTGCAATAGCTTTTATGACTTCTTTCATTGATTCTCAAGGTTTTAAAAGAGCATAGGCTGAAAACCACTGACATTATCAAGGCTACCATCTGATGGGTGAGGAAGGTGGGATCCAAGAGAGGAAGGAGTTTGCCTAATGTCACAAGACCGGTGCCCAGAAAGCTGGCGTTAGTATCCAGATGTCCTGACCCCCAACCTCATTAACAACTTTTACCTTCTTAGTTCTCTCTAAAACCAGGCCCCAAATATTTACAAAGTGGTTGTGAGGCAAAATGTTTGCAAGAGCCCCTACAGAGTTCAGGAACACTCAATGTGTGGACACCATGGTGGCCAGAAGGAGGGCTCTGGGGTCAGGTGGGTCCGTATTTGGATCCCAGCTCTGTTCCTTACCACCCGGATGAGCTGGAGCCAGGAACTCAGCCTCCCCAAGTCCTGGTTTTCCGATCCGCAAAATGCCAAGGCACTGTTCACCTCACAGATTGTTGTGAGACGTCAGTGACATCCTTTGATGGCCCATCATAAGTGCTCTGTGGTTCTACTCAGGGTATCCACGTGGGTCTAGGGTACTTCAATAGTCATCACAGGCACCAGTTAATCATCCACCATGCACGCTAGCTACCTTCCAAACCCCAAGCACAGCCATCATGTTCAAGCATTACTACTCATCTCCAATCCCCAGGGTCTAGCACAGGGGCAGGCCTATGGCAGTTGTTAAGAAACATTTGTAAATAATGAATGGATGCCTTTCTTTCTATCACATTCATCGGTATGGTTACGGATTTACAGTCAGACTTTGTTTCCAGTCTGGCATCCACCATTTTCAGCTACAGGACTTTATTCAAAAGTCAGCCATCTTCTAATCTTTAAAATGGAAATGTGAGCCCCAGTCATTCAGCTGTAAGATGTCCTCAGGAGGCCCACATGGAAGTGAAAGCCAACATGTCAAACCAAGATGTGATCGTTGTCTGACAAAACACAGACAGGGTAAGATACCTGCATCTCCACCATTTGTTCTATTCCCTTAAATCCTCTGTCTCAGCCCGCGTCTTTCCCGGTCCCTGCGATGTCAGAGAACAGTGTGTTCTGTCGAGTCATTGGGGAGTGCCCACGTTTGGTTTACGTGTGTTCACAAAGAACCATGGCTATATTACACCAGAAATTATGCCGAGGACCCAACTTTGAAATAATGTAGGTAACTCTCATTCTTAGGTGGTGTAGGAATAGTTCTCCCAAGCACTGGTCTTCTGAATCAATAAATATAATTTAAAATTCCAATACTCTCTTTTGAAAGAAACTCCCTATTTTTCACCCTTGTGCTCCTTCCCCCTTTCCTGCACACCCCATATCCATGCTCCCATGTGTTTCTGCTTTCTCTCGTTCCCAGAGGACCTTCCCCCAGTAACTCTCTGATAACTTAGCACCCTTCAAGGCTCATCTGTGAGCTCTTTCATAGATGGAAACTTGCAAAACCTCAGACACTATTCAACGTAGGATTTGAATATTCAGCATTAAGTCACATCCCTAGCCTACAATGTCACAAAATGTGCAAGGGAGACATGCCCATTGTCATAACATTTACACAGAAGATTTACAATCTAAACACATACCTTCCCAGATGCAGGTCAGGGTCCTTTCCTCCACCATGCTCCCTGGTTCTCCCATTCTAAATGGCCCAGAAGGGTTAAGGGTATGCCCCTTCTTCCTTGACCTTAAAACAAAGACTACACCTCTAGAGAGTTTCTTGCATCCCCCAACTCATTTAAGTTCACAACATTGATTGCGTGCTTCTGATACATGATAGGACAAAACCACTCAAGAGGTCTAGAATTGAATTGCATCTAAGTTCTGCCCTCAATGGGTTTCTAGTTACGTGAGAAAGGAATACAAAGATGCACTCTAACTTCAGACCATTTAAAACTAAAGGGATATATGTATAGAGAGCCGTGAGAATATCAAAAAGAGGGTAAAAAAGTGGAATGGGGAGAATTGAAGATGGTTTCAAAGAGGAAAAAACTTTGGGCTAAGTCCTTTTGGGTGAGCGACATTCCAACAGGTCAAGAACCAAATCAGAAAAGGCTATTTTTTGACAGTCCCTACTTGTTTCCAGATGCATGATTAGGTTTAGGTAGGAGGCTGGTACATTAATAGCATTTGACAACAACACTACCTTCATCTGATGTGGTTGATTAAAAATCCTGTGACTGTGGGTACAGATAAAACACGGTATGAAGCTGAGGCCTATCACATACTGCCAGTGGAACTTCAGGCAAATCATTTGGCCTAGCTGAAGACCAGTGACGTCGTGCATAAAATGGAGAGAACAAGTAGAGTCTACCCATGACGACTATGACGAAGGCTTAACTGAGATCGTGTATACCAGGCAGTAAGCACCATCCACGCCTGGCCCACAGTCAGCACTCAGTAGATGGCACTCAGCACTCAGCTAACACTATTCCCTCTTGTCCTTGTCATGGTTCATCTCTTGTGCAAAGTACAAAAACAAGGTGAAACTACAAACAGCCTCCTGACCCCATGGCCCATTGTTCCTCCATACGGCGAGACCCATACTCACGCCTGACCCCAAATAGCACTCTACGAATGAAAGGCACAGGAGATGGGGACAAGCTCAACCCAGGTCTTACCTGTATATTTTATATCTGGTTGTAAATCCTTGACGGTGTCTTTCCACAAAGGATAGGTAGCTCCTGGAGTGGTGGAAAGGCCCCCTGTCTGAAATAAGCCAATCAAATTCCTTGGAGACATGTTGGTCTGTCCCAGCTGGTTCCTGGTGGGAGGGCTGCACTGAGATACGGCCCCATACAAACAGGAAGTAGAGGAGCTCAACAAACCTCCAGTTCATGCTTTTCTGCCGGCCTTTTTCCTCTCATTCTTGCTCCATTCTGTGGAGTCCTGAGGAGAAAGAATTTAAAAAAAAAAAAAAAAAAAAAAAAAA